ATTTCAAATAGTTAATTTGATACTAATATCGATATATTTTTGTCAAATTTTTATGATATCTTCAAACATATATTTTATTCAAAAATAAAAACATTATCGCTTTTCTCAAAATCACATAAGGCCATATTATAATATCGACTGAGATAAAGAAGAAAATGAAATATTAAAATCATGATGTATCTCGCTGCATTGCGCGAGTACGCTTCTAGTATATATATATATATAACTTTTAAAGATCCATGTTATTACCTCTATAAGATTAATTATTAAATACATGATAATATATATATATATATATATATATATATATATATAACTTTTAAAGATCCATGTTATTACCTCTATAAGATTAATTATTAAATACATGATAAAGTTAAATGAATTAATATTCTATCAATTAGAAAAAAATACATTTCTTTTTAAATATTTCATATCTGCATCAACATAAGATACATATAAATTTAACCACAATTCAATAAATGAAAAATACTCACTTCTTATAATATCACCTCATTTTTTTATAGGTTTTACTTTAATATATGTAAAGATCTGCATCTTGAAAACCTAACTAGTATAGCTATGTGGTACTTGTTTACTGTCAATATTCATCACTCTTATTTATCTTACTTGGATAACATTCTTTGATATCAAAATGGGTTGATAGTAAATATTTATAACTCGGTAAGACTTTCGATCCTTATCTTCCATTTTACCAGGTAAAATTATCGGTCTTTTTTATTTATATATAATAAAATAATTAAACTAGTAAAGGTTTATCAAGTAGAGTATTTAATAAACAACCGTAGGTGTATAATATTGGATTCTCTCTCTAGAAAACAGGTTAAGTTTGTCTGTCTAAAAAACAAGAAGTCAAAACCAATCCCAAGTATCCAACCGCGTTCTTTCACCGTCATACACATGCCTCGAATCTTCCTTTTTCAATTCTGTGTTCACACTTTTAATCCTTCTCTAAATCAAATCAAATCAAATCATCAATTCTTTGATGTTATCAACATCAACATCATCATCAGCAGCAGATGGGTTTTTGTTTCTTTTCCCTTTTCTCCTTTCACACTTGATTGCATATAATATCAACAAATCCCCTCCTCATTTTTCATCCAATTCTGCTTCTTGTGTTCACATCTCTTTTACCCATTTTGTCAAACACTTGGAACGCCCATTCAAACTTTCCCAATTTCTTCACTCTTTTGCATATATATGAAATCAGACGTTTCTAGACCGGGAGAACGGGATCATTTAGCCGCTGATTATTCATATTACTATACTTTGCTTCAAGAAACATTCGATCAGATGAATGATTATAAGCCAAGTCAATTAGGGGATGAAATTGAAACCTCCACCATTGAAGTCGACGAAGAAGATGAAGGCAAGCAAGAAGTTAAGACCAAAGGGTTGAAGGAGATTCTGACGTCTTTGCTTTTGATTGAGGAGCAGGAAAAGTCGGATAAGGACGAATGGGACAAGGCCCAGGAAGAAGATAAGATGATGTTAGAAGCTAACCATAAGAAGAAAACCAAAGCCATGTTGGATTATCAAAGCGAATGTCAACAATACGATGATATCTTGGATCAAACCAATCGTGTTCGAAAGCGTAAGTCTCGTGCTGCCACAACCGCCGCGATTGCCTCTACTGCCGTCGTTGCAGTTGATTTAGATAACAACCCAAACCAGAAAACCAGTGGTGGTGCGCCTGTTGCAGCCACAGGACCGCAAAGGAGGTTGTGGGTGAAGACCAGATCAAAAGATTGGTGGGATAAGTGCAACAGTCCAGATTTCCCAGACCAAGATTTCCGGAAAGCATTTCGAATGGGGAAAGATACGTTTGAAATGATCTGCAACGAGCTTACATCTGTCGTCGCCAAAGAAAACACCATGTTAAGAGATGCAGTACCCGTAAGACAGAGGGTGGCAGTCTGCATATGGCGATTAGCCACCGGCGAGCCATTAAGGCTGGTCTCAAGAAGATTTGGGTTAGGCATTTCCACATGTCACAAGCTCGTTCTTGAAGTTTGTTCTGCAATCAAGAACGTTTTGATGCCTAAATATCTTCAATGGCCAGATGATGAATCCACAACTATGATCAAAGATGAGTTTGCATCAGTTTCAGGTATTCCCAATGTGGTTGGTTCAATGTACACAACTCATATTCCCATTATCGCTCCCAAGATCAGTGTTGCTGCATATTTCAACAAACGACACACAGAAAGGAACCAGAAGACATCTTATTCGATCACGGTTCAAGGTGTAGTCGACCCACGAGGCGTGTTTACCGATGTCTGCATCGGTTGGCCTGGTTCCATGCCAGATGATCAAGTCTTGGAGAAATCTGCACTTCACCAAAGAGCAACTGGTGGACTTCTGAAAGATGTATGGATTGTGGGTAGTTCTGGGTATCCTTTAATGGACTGGGTACTGGTGCCTTATACCCAACCCCATCTCACATGGACTCAACACGCATTTAACGAAAAGATCGGTGAGATCCAAAGGGTTGCTAAAGATGCATTTGCGAGATTGAAAGGAAGGTGGTCTTGTTTACAGAAGAGAACTGAAGTGAAGCTTCAAGATTTGCCAGTGGTTTTAGGGGCATGTTGTGTTTTACATAATATATGTGAAATGAGGAACGAAGAGATAGATCCAGAGTTGATGATTGAGCTTATGGATGATGAGATGGTTCCAGAAGCTGCATTGAGGTCTGCAATTGCAATGAAGGTTAGGGACTCCATTGCTCATAATCTTTTGCACCATAATCATGCTGGTACTTCTTTTTTGTCATAAAAAGGAGCTGCAAAATTGACACTTTGAGGTAAGTTGGTTCATTCTTGTTGTGGAATATGGGATTTGATAGAGTTTTTGTGATGGGGGTTTTTATAGATGTATATGAAAACTTGAGTTTTAGGATCAGTTTTATACATAAATTAATTTCTGAATTGAATCAAAAGTTAAGGAATGACTTTAGACAATTGTTAACAGTTTAGACACACTTGTTCTTGGTTCTGTTTGAAACTATGGAAGACATTAAACCATTTATATGGTTATGCAAATGTAATGTAAAACTGATTGGTATTAATATGTTAAAGACAGATTGTGTTGGATATGGTGGATGATTTGTGTGACAGATTTGTAAGAGAATTATATATCGACCATTTCTTCTGTAACCTGTTTGTTAAGAGGTTTTTAATAAGGTTTCATGTTAGGAGATGTAACCAAAGAGTAGAGTTGTTGGGTGGTGTGTGAGAAGGAATATGAATAGTATAATAGGGATTTAGAAGGTGATGATTTTGGGATGATTTGGTTAATGATATGAGAGATTTTGGGGGTGGGGGGG